CAAAGAAGGCCCTCAGCAGTGCCTCTACGGCAGCACAGGGGCCCTTGCGCACGTACACCTGAGGCCGCAGCCCCACAGCTAGCTGTGCGGCGCGCGCAGCTGCAGCAGCAGCAGCAGCAGCTGCTGCTGCTGCTGCGGGCGTGTGTGCGGGGCTGCTGCCGCGCCAAGCCGCGGAGCGCTGCAGCGCCCGCTGCTGCTGCCTATCTGCTGCAGGGGGCCCCCGCGCAGCTCTCCTTGCTGCAGTTCTGCTGCTGCGAAAAGCCAAAAGGGATTTGCAGAGTTTGGGAAGCGGGGCCCCCCGGTGAGGTGTACGTACACCGCAGCTCTCGCGGACCAGCAGCGCCGCCGCCGCCGTCCCGCCGCCACGCGCTGCTGCCGCTTTCTCTGGGATTTTCCGGAGATTTCTTCGGGGAAATAAAAGTATTTCGTCAACAAGTTATTTTTAAATGCTGCTAAAGGATTATTTGCAGACACACACTGTCCAGACACCCCAGAGGCCGAACCCGCCGCCGCCGCGCAGTGGTCTGTCTCAGCGCCGCCGCCGGGGGGGGCCCCAGGGGCCCCCTGGGGCCCCCCCTTCAGTTTTTGCGAAAATATTAATTTTTTTTTAATTTAAATGCTAAATAATATATTCAGAACCAACTGGATAAGTCTTTTTTGAAGAAAAGGGCCCTGGGGGGCCCGCCGGGGGCGCCGACTTGCCAAGCTGCACACGCCGCCGCCGTGAAGAGTCCCGCGACCAGCACACCCGCCTCTAAACCCTAAACCCTAAACCCTAAACCCTAAACCCTAAACCCGAGCCCCCAGGGAGACGGGGGTGCGGGATTAGGGAAGGACCTGGCCCGCGGGCTGCTGCAGATTTCGAGGGTTTAGCCTCTAGGCTTTAGTCCTAAGGTTTAAGGGTTTGCAGCCTAGGGTTTAAGCTTTGCTGCTGAGGGTTTAGGGTTTGCAGGAATTGGCCGCGGGTCTAGGATTTAGGGTTTAGGGTTGCCAGTCTCAAATGATTATCACAAAATATTGAGAAGAAAATTTATTTAAAAAGGGAAAGAGTGCACAGAGCCCGTAAACTCCAACGCAGCCAGCTAGCTAGCTAACTCTTAGCAAAGCTAGCAGCTAGCTGGCTAGCTGCAGCCAGCTAGCTGCGGTTAGCTAGCTAGCTGCAGCCAGCTAGCTGAAGCTAGCTAGCTGCAGCTAGCTAGCTTCACCAAACTAGCTGCAGCAAGATATCTACAGCTAGCTAGCTAGCTGCAGCTAGCTGCTGCTGCTGCTGCTGCTGCTTCTTTTTGTCTTGAAGCTTACCTGTCCCACACTGTCAAGGGGCCCCCAGGGGCCCCCCACCAGGGGCCCCCACGGGGGCCCCAGGGGTCCCCTGAGGCCTCCCCAGCAGCTCCGGGGGCCCCGAAAGCCCCAGGGGGCCCTGAGGGGCTCCCAGGGGGCCCTGGGGGGCCCCTAGGGGGCCCCTAGGTGTGGGGCCCACTATGGGGCTGAGGGGGGCCCCCGCGTTTCTGTTGGGGGCCCCCGCAGCAGCAGCGCTGTGGCAGCTAGAGAAGGTTTGCAGAAGCAGCAGCAAAAAGAAAAGTTTTTTGAAATTACAGATTAGCGAGAAAAGGTACACCTAAGGTCTGCCCCAGAAGGGGGGCCCCAAGCCTTTAAAGGAGCTTGAGGAGAGGGGGCCCCTATTTGACCCGAACCCTCTGCTTCCTGCCTTTGCTGTTGCTGCTGCAGCAGCAGCAACAGCAGCAGAAGCCGCAGCAGCAGCAGCAAACGGCAGTGCGTCAGGCGCCGCCCCCTTCCGCGTCCCCAGAGGCAAATCTCTGGGAGCGCCGAACTCCGCTACGGGAGGGGGGCCCCGGGGGGCCCCCCCCTCGGGGGGCCCCCCACTTGGGGGCCAGTACCCTGGGGGCTCCCCCTGCCCCCCGGAGGCGGGGCCTCCCCCTGCCCCTTCTACGCACAAGGGCCCCTCTTGCTGCTTCTTCAGACCCTCCAGAAAGGGGCGTCGAGGGGCCCCCGGGCTCTCTGGGGGCCCCCGGGGGCCCCCTGGGGGGCCCCCCGGGGGGCCCCCCTGGAGGGCCCCCCGGGGGCCCCTCCAGCGAGGCTTCTCGTTCTAAACCCTCAGAGCCCCCGCAGCTCTCGGCCTCCCCCACCTCGGCTGGAAGCCTTTGGGGGGGCCCCACCCCGCTGCTGCATGTGCTGCTGCTGCTGCTGCTCCCTGTGCTGCTGTTGCAGTAGCTGCTGCTGCTGCTGCCGCTCGTGCTGCTGCTCGTGCTGCTGCTCGTGCTGCTGCTGTCCGTCTCGCTGCCCCTCCTGCTGGGGCCCCCGCGGCGGCGCCGCCCAGGCTGCGAAGGATTGGAGTCTGCAGCAGCAGCACACAATTCACGTGGCAGCAAACGTGCAGCAGCAGCAGTGGCTGCTGCTGCTGC